TATGGGGATATATGTATATGTACAGCTGATTCACTTTGTTATAAAGCAGAAACTAACACACCGCTGTAAAGCAATTACACTCCAATAAAGATGTTAAAAAAAAAAAGAACCTACTGTATAGCACAGGGAACTATATTCAAAATCTTATAATAACCTATAATGGAAAAGAATCTGAAAAAGATTTTATATATATAAAATACATAAATATATAAAAAGATTTATATATATTTATATATACACACACATATATCTATATCTGAGTCACTTTGCTGTTCACCTGAAACACAACATTGCAAATCAACTATACTTCAATTAAAAAAAGAGAGCGAGAGCGAGCTGTAACTTCTGAGATGATTAGGGAACTCTATATTTGATAACTAAATTTATAACAATTTCAGTAATGAAGGCTCTCTAAATATTCTGTCAGCTCTAAATGGAATGATTCTATGGCTTTATTTGAGGCTTCCAGTTGGTGCTGGGATTTTCGTCATGCAGGATATATGCTTAGTATATCAGAATTCTATTCAATATTCTGACATTGACCTTAAGAGAAGCTAAAAAGAGAATTATAAAATACACATCATCGAATTCATTTCCTTTATCCAGAAGAAGCTGTAACCTTTGTCCACAAATAAAACAATTCTAGTTTAAAAAAGAAAAATTCCTACCAACGGAATTCCTACCATTTTTATTCAGGCACACTCAAAGCTTGAGACATCCTCCACTCCAAACCTTCAAGTTATAGCTACTAAGTAATATTAGATTATTGTGGTCATATAGAATATTTAGATTACTCCAATCCAGCTATTGATAACATGGTGAGTTCTCCATCACCCTGCAGGTGCAGGGCTGAATGAGAAAGGAGATAAATTGGAAAGGAGATACTGAATTGATTCGAATATTGAGTTTCTAAACTCTATTTTAAAAAGGCCAAGGAATAGTTTGAAACACATCAGACTTACCAGATGTCTTCCAACAATGAGGCTTTTAGAGAAACATCACAGGTGATCATTTCATCTCAATCCCTAGAGTAGAGATCTAGGGATCATGGAAATAGTTTAAGCATGGAAAATACTTAAAAATTGAGCCTGGTCAAACAGATGTGTACATCAGTGTGTAAAAGCGATAAAATAATGTGATAGCAAACATCTGAACAGTACTATGAAAGGCACTATGCTATGTGCCTTACATACATCATCTCATTACACACCCTATAAGATGAGTGCCACCGTCACTCCATTTTATAAATGAGGAACTGAGTCTCATTAAGTTACGTGTCTAGTCCAAGTATACACAGTTAATTAATAGGGAGCCTGGATTTAAACTCAGGCAGTCTAACTCTAGATCCAGTACTTTTAACTGTTAGCCAAAATGAAATACCTTAGAACCTAGAATCCAATGCACGCCAAAAGCTTACATCAAACATGTCTACAGCAAAGGATATATTATATAACACTAAATGTTCCTTAAAATCATGAAGTTTCCTCAATTACTTTAAGATATTAAGATGCCTAGATGAGTCATGTGTATTTCTCTAACTTCATCTGATGATTCAAACTATGATAAACTTAACTACTACTATTGGATATTCTGAACTTAAAAGATTTAAAAAAAAGAAGAAGATAAAAAGAAAGGACATGAAGAGAGATATGTCACTCCTATTTTTGATCAGTATGCCATCAGATTAAAATTAAATGACTACTGAAGTTCATACTAAAACGAAATAATGGTTATATACTAGAATGTATGCTATAAAAGTTACACAGCAAGATGAAAACAGTACAAGTTTTATAAACCAAAACAACCCCAGAAAGTTTTACATAACTGAAAAAGACAAAGGAGTAAGTAGAGAAAACTCAATTAAGAGGGACCTCTTTATTACATATTTATAAAATAATAGTATAATATAGTTATTAAAAATGGAGATGAAATATTTTATTTTTGGTATCTTATGTTTTGCATTCAATTTTTCAATCATCTTCACAATTTTTCAAAACTTGAACCTCTACCCCACCCACCATTCAAAGAACAAATGAAGAACAAACTATCCAATGGGTTCTAGTGAGAGACTTAATATCAAAGAAATTAATCCAGTAGCTCATGAATTAAGATTGAGAATTTTCAAAGAAATACAATAAAAACAAAAATTCAGAAGGCACCTCAAGATCATATTGTGCCATTTTCCTCATGCTGTATGTTTAAGTGCCTATAACAGAATTCTGGTTAATGAAATTTTGGACAAAAAAAGTGTCATATTTTGTGCACATAGCATCAAATGACTACAGATACAATATGGGGATTCTGCTGTGCATATCTGTACTAAGTAGGGCATAATTTATAATATGTGAAGAAAAAAATTTAAATTACAAAATGGGTATTTTTAGCACATTTAGTAACAGCTAGTTGTTTTAAACTATCATTTCATTTTTGATGACCAAATTGTATGTGACCATAATTAAAGAACATATAATTTAAAAATAATACTAATAAACCATGGTTACAACAGAACTGTTACATTAAATGAAGAAAGGAAAGTCACATACATGTACTGAATGGCACTGAGGTTTTTCAAAGCCATTCTTTTGAAAGGCTTTCAGTCCACCTTCACATGTATCAGTTAAAAAAATGTCTCTACTCAGTGTGCTTGCAGAAGGAGATGAAGTCAGTTCTGATCACCCAAGTGGCTGACAAGCACTCAGTGCTGATCACTGAGCAAGTCTTTTATCTGACTACCCTGACAACCGTAACTGAGCCACATCTAAGTCTCTGATGCGGCAACTCCAACTATTCAACTGCAGAGAAACACCTCAGAAACACAAAAAAACACAACTGAAACAAGTGACAACTAGAAATGGCTGAATCACTGTACCTTTTAGACACAACCATTAACCTTAGTTTTGTGATATGCTATTTGGTACTTTTTGATTCAGTAGTTGGAGTAAAAAAAAGTTTCTGTATTCAAACCTATTTACAGAATGTCAATATAAAATGTGTGAATATATACATTTAATATACACACATGCACGCACGCGTGCATGCGTGCGCACGCACGCACACACACACACACACACACACAAACTCACATATCTAGAAACCAGCACTTAGCCACGTCCCCAATTCTCACTAATGACTCAGTAAATCATTTGTTACTTTAAGACCAGCTTAGATGTTATAAGGCTGCAACATATGGCTAAAGAGGTCAAACACAAGCACCCACACTCAGGCTAATTAAATTGTTCCTCCTCCTGATTTTCCACAAGTAGTAATACCATTTATATAACAACTATATCTCAATAACTTAGAATTCAGAGTATAAAACCAGTGTCATGAACATATAACTCCCTCACTGTTTAAAGAACACTCCTCCTTCTGTTCTATTTCCACTAATGGTAAGAGGGCACACCAAACTGGATCACATTGAACTGTACAAATTATCTTTACTCTCAATCTAAACAAACGTGAGTTAAAACATTCTGAAATGCTGCATCCTTTGATTTCTTCATCTTTTCAATTGCCCGATGCAGGTCCTGTTGTTGCACAGGTCGAATTTCATCTTCATAATGGCTAAAATGCAAAAAAAAAAAACCCACCAAATATTCAAATAATTTTAGAATACATCTCCCTAAAATATTTTACCAAGACTAAAAAATGAAGTCTCTTACCCATCCAAGACCCCAAAGACAACCACAATTTACAGCTTCACGTGAATTCTTCCAAGGAATTAATCTATGCATATAAATGTCTTAAGAGACTTTTAAAAAGCACTTACCAGCAAGAGGTAGGAAGCTAAAATGGCTGGCTATAAACATTATAGCTTGGTAACTAAAATCAAATACTTCACACTAAGAATATAAAGGTGTGAAAGTTGATCTAAATGGGATTATAATTCTAATCAAGGATTCAAAAGTTATTCCCATGAAAACTGGAATTAAAAAGTAGCAGTCTTATCATGCATGTGTTTAGCTTTTGATAAACTGAAAATAAAATTCATTCCTACTAATAAAAACCAACTACCCTAAGTCCTCCCCACTTCAATAAGGAGAAAAATATGATCCAATATATAATATCTCCTTTGTAACTTATGAACACTCAGGAAAAATAATTCAGGGAAAAAGTTATGATAACCTAAGTCCATTACCCAGACTTTTTGCATTGAAATATAACATTTTCAGGGCTTTAAGGACAGCAGAAAAACAGAATTTCCATTAAAATAATTTATTTAAGTAAAATTTATTCATAGGGTTTTTTTTTCTCCTCTTAACATATACAAGAATAAAAATCTTCAAAAGATAGATTCTTGGCTACAGAGGTCAAAAGTATTCCCAATTTTAGTGCTAGAGTAGCTGGATTAATCTGGCAACAAATAAATGGAGTGACTCCACGAAAGGGCCCAAGGGAAGACTAAAGATAGGTCCTGAACCAGTGCAGGCACAGCTCCAAGTTAACAGGGTAGCTTTCATGCAAACCTTTCTATACCAAGAGAAACCTTTTTTGGCAAAGCTTGCTAGGCAATACAATGTAATTAAACACATGAATAAGATAGGCAAATCCAGGTCACTTGGAATGAAAGCCTCAAGAGATGAAGAAGGGAGACTAAGAAACAATGGGGCAAGAGGTAGAGAATTCATTTGACACAAGCCCCCAAAGTACACTGGTTTGCTAAGAGTCACATTAGAAGGTTGATATTTTGAACAGGGGCTTAGAAACGCAGGGTTATACTGGTTCAGGGCAAGTGGCCTTATGGGAAACACAGGACTTTTGTTCATCAGAGCTGCATTATTCCATATTCCAGTTCACTAATACGGCTGGTACAAGATTGGTTTCTCAAGCTCAAGATACTTTGAAACTGGTTTCAAGTTTGCTGTAGTGACAAATGACTTCTTTTTTAGTAAATACATTATTAACAAGTTGAAGTCTAGTCCACAGCAACGTCCCCATAAATGTGAAATTTCTGGAAGACAAGGCACTCATTTCCCTAATGTAAAAATTTAAAATACAAAAGCAATCCAGGGATACCAGAGCAGCTGTTTTCCTGGTAGAGATGGGTAAGCTTAAGTTTGTCAGCTTTCTGTAACCCAGCTCATGGATTTCCAGTAGAAATTCAGCTTTTACTTCTTGCTCTTCATTTCAGATGCTTCCCCAAACCACCCTCCCTTGCAAATTCATTTCCAGAATTCTCCTTCAGAAAAAAGGCAATAAATAACGTTAGGGGAATTTTAAATTCCAATTTACCTTTTTATTCCATAAGCAGAGTTGGTATTATAAAGCAAAATAAAAGGAACTATCCCAAAAGCTCTAAAAGGGTTTGACAAATATTAAGAGATCAACTCTAAATACACATACCTTTCTTCTGATGTAGAATTAACATATTCCCTGACACAGAGGAGGGCAGCATCTCGACACATCTCCTTTAGGTCACTTCCTGAAAACCCATCAGTTTCCTGGGCAACTTCCAGCAGGTCCACATGCCTATCCACCTTAAACAAATATAGAACATGCTTTAAAAAAAATGTAAAATATACTGTAAAAGATATATCCAAACATTCTTAGAATTAAAGAAAGTTAAGCATATTGGAACAGCGTGGGAGGAGAATCAATAGATAGTATTTTCAGTCTCTAGAAGTTTTCTTCTTTTAACCATAAAAGCTTAAAATTTGAAATCTAATTTTCAGTAATTGTCATTATGACCAAAACATAAATAAGTCTTACTAGATATATCACAGAGTGATGGGGAAGAATAGGCATTCGAATATTGCTGGATTGACTTTGGTGCCTCTTAGGAAGGTCCCACTTTGACACTTCTTTATAATATAGTCAACATACTTGGCAAATAGCCTGGATCATTAAGTCCTGAGACCTGATTTTTGTAATATTATGATATTACAAAAATCATATTCTACTAAAATATTCTAACCCTCATTTTAACTGTACTGCTTTGATATTCTACTACCTCAACACTAATTCAGCACCTATGGTTTTGCTCCCCAACCTAAGCTTATACAGTCAAGCCAATTAAGTGATCCTCCTGGGCACATAACAGACTTGGGATAGTTAAAAGCTGATATGTAGCTTAAGAAGAGAAAATGAGAAAGAAAAAAATTAATTATAGTAACTACCATGTATTAAATGATTTTTAAATATCATTTGCTGTATTACGACTTTTCATGGAGTATTCTCATTTAATCCTGACAGGGAAGTATTCTCATTTTCGTTTACAGAAAATAGTAAAACCTGCAGAGGTTAAATAAATTGCCCAAGGTCACACCATTGCCAGAGCCAGGGTTTGAACACAATGCAGTAAAGATCCAGCTGTATTTTTTCCCCCATATAGCTAACCGTTGGTCTTAACATTTATTTTCCCCAAGTTGACTGGAAATGCCATCTTCATTTGTTACTAAATTCCCATTTGTCTTTATGGAAGACCCCAGTGTAACTCTACACAAGGACAAGAGACTTGGAGGTAAGACAACATGGGATCTACTGGTAACTCTGCAACTGTGACCTCACGTGACAGTGTTCTCAGTCCTAAATGTGGAGATTAAATAAAGAGAAATCACGTATTCTTTGATAAAAAGAAAACTGCACCCAGAAGGTAGGTGTGCAACAGGCAAGGAAAATGGTAAACCACATATAGATAAATCTAAGCTTTAATATATAAAAACAGTAATAATAATCATTTCATTTGGGGTAAAGAACTAAGTAGCACTAAAAGAGAATGTGTAACTTCCAAATGACTAGAGGAAGAGGGAAAAAGGAATGAAGAACACAAGAGCAACACTAAAGAACGAAGGACTGGTGGGGAGGTAGGGGAACTGGAGGGGGAAAGGGGAAGGTGTGGGCAGGGGGTGGGTGGGGGGAGTCCAGGGAGGAAAAAAAAGCATAATGCATGGAAAGCATTAAAATAAAAAAGAACAAATGCAAATTTATCAGTAATCGCCACAAACACAAACAGAAATCATTACATAATGATAAAAAATAATTCACCAGAAAAATATAACAAATGGACAAACCCGCAACAATACTGGGGATATAAGACGATAAGTTCCTAGGGCTAGTTATAGTTAGAATCTGTGATCTAATGTACAAACATAAAAGCTGACCAACTGATTACAGGCATTCTATGTAATCTGGATATTAGTCCTTTGCTGGTTATAGGGTTGCAAATGTTTTCCCTGTGATGTGTTCTTGCACTTTGTTCACTGTATCTTGTCATACTTCAAGAAGCCTTAAGTCTGATTACAGTCAGACGTTTCTATTCTCTTTGTAGTTTAAACTTTTTTGTGTGCCTCAGAAACTCACTTTCTCTACAGTTTGTAACAGTGAAAGAGAAAAAATAACCTACACCTGTACCTGTATTATGTATCTATCCACACACATTTATGGAACTGATACACACAACGAACTTCAGGATAGTGCTTAGAGTTCTCCACAGCAGGATACCAATGATGGTGTGGGGTGAGGGAGCGGGGGAGGGGTTGACATGAAGCAAAATATATTAAGGTCGGGCTTCCCTGGTGGCGCAGTGGTTGAGAGTCCGCCTGCCGATGCAGGGGACAAGGGTTCG